TCACCTTCAGCTCTGTTATGAGCTATGTTACTCTTCTGTATTTATTCTACCTGACTTCGGCGTCAAGTGACGTTGACTCGCCATCAGAGTCGCCCACCATATGGCAGTGCTATGCAGAGAACAGTATCTGTGGATCTTATATAAAAGGTGCGGTTGAGAATTCGAGTATAAAAGCATTCTGAAAACACGCTCCCTTTTGTATCAGATTCTCCATCTCTAAGAAATAATTGTGCATTGACTGCCGAAGATTTACCATCGGAAAGGCCTGTTCTAATAGACAGTTTGGTATCGAAGATTTTGAGTTCGCAAGCCAATGTCAGCTACGGTCTTTTGGTAAGTCACCGTGCTACTGTTACTATATATAATTTCCAATGTTAACTGTAGCCTAAGCGACTAGCTAGTAAAAAAGCAGTAGAGATGAATATGAAAGAAGTGTTCGAATATATGCGGCAAAGTTGCAGATATTCGAGGCAGGAAACGATGCTTACGTGAAATGGCAGTTATCCACTCCTTCATCATTATCAGTGGATCTTGCATACGAATCCGTTCCGCCGCTAGTCCAAGAGTCCTTCGTGCGAGACCTTGCCATATACCACTTCAGTGCAGCAGCTTACAACGGAGCACCAGCTGAAGTTTGTTTGCTACCTTTATGGGTAAGAGCTACTTTAACACTAGCGTGAAGTGTGTGAATCTAGGTTCTACTGGTTGCTCCGGGAGCATCACTGTCAGTTTCCCGAAAGAAGACCGGTGAGGAGAGCAGCACAGCCAGCTCATGCCGCCATGCCGCTCTGGTCGCCGCGCCAGTGAAGTGGACAGCCGTGGTTGCAGCCGAGTTCGCTCAGCGAGTCAATCGCATTGTGGTCAGCGTATGCAAGGTCCGTAAGCCATCGGTTCACTGATACTCGCATCGCCATACTCTAACCTGCGTTCAACACTTCAGCTCTGCACTCAACTTCCTCTCTCGAGCGATTTCATCCGGATATGTCCGCCACAGCAGCAACAGTAAATCGTACTTTTTCTCTTGTCTCGTCTTACACCTCAGTCATTTAGTGATCCAGCTGATCGAACTCCAACTGATATCGTGATTACTGACTTCCGTCCGACTGTCTGGGATATATCTGCGCCGTCACAGGTGTTCGAGGTTCGAGAGCATGTATATTA